AGCCCTGCATCATATATATATATATAATATATATATATATATTAACACTATATAGCATTTACGCATACACACACACATACATGCTACCACAGATATTCAGATACACAGAAATAGATGCAGATATAGAAATCAATATGGGTGTGTGTACATTAACACAGTATATACCTGCATCCCCACTTCGAGTGGAATGCGCGGATTGAAGCTGGCTACGCGACCGTCTCACTAGGTCGGGATTTATAGACTTCTGGCTGAAATCCCCTCTTGAAGGGTTTGGCAAGGACACTGTTTCACGGCTGCAGAGGACACGTTAAGACCTGGGGACATCCACTGAATCTGCTCTGTTTCCACGATGCTGGGTTCTGGCTACAAAGGTCTGATGAAAAGCTGTTTCCACATTGCAACCTGAACATGCACAAGACTCTAGACGACGATGCTGGCAAGTCAGCCGACAATCCCCAACGCCACATCCTGGGGCTGTATATGGTGGCACAAGGCCGAAGACCTATACTTCTAGCATGGCTTTCTCTGCTCCCTCCCAAGCTAGATTAATAACTATTGTGACCCGATCGTCAGCTGTCATCTTGAGAAGGCATGTCGGTAGTTGGCGATGCGAGTTCAGATAGCCCAAGCTTTGCCAGGTTGGCTCAAATACGATACCTTCGGGCATATACATACATACATATATATATATATATATTTTTCTGTATTTATTTAAGTCTATATACACACATGTTTATGTATACATATACATATACATATACAAATATATATATATATATGTGTGTGTGTGTGTGTATATATGTATATGTACACATATATGGTTGTGTATGTAAACTCCAAACTCATTCATGCTTTTACTAAAGCCCGACAAGGTTATACGTGTACATGGTCGACACCTGTTCATCTCCTCGATCTCCCTCCACACCTGCAGCAACATGCACCATGCTCCGAAGCTAACCCTAACCCCCCAGGTACCTACTAAAGGGCCCTAGGGGCTCTGTACCCTATATAGTAGGTACCTGGGGGGTTAAGGTAAGATCACACAGCTGACTGCCCCGAAAAGGAACTGCTCGGAAATCAGGGAGTGATCGGGCGACGAGCTCAATCTGGGTGCCCAGATCTAACTGTGTCATGAGAAGAAGGGCTGTAATGATGCAACTCCTCAAACAATGTGGTCATGCTACCATTGCGCTGCAGGTACTAGTCATCCCAGCATGACGTGAAACCTAATACCGCACTGAAGGGCGCCTGCTCTTTCCACCATCGCGTAGACTGTGCCTCCCCAAGCGATCGGTTTAGGGTGTAGGGTCTTTCTGTTCGCTCCTACGTTTAGGGGTTTAGGGTTTTCCCATTTAGGGCCTAGGGTTTAGGGTGGTGCGACTTAGCGGGTGCGACGGGTGCCCGGCCAACCCTAAACCGCAGACACTTCTTGCACAAAGATGAGGCCTGTCTCCACTTGGTCAAAGTCACCTGCACCAGGTCCAGGGTGGCCGATGCAGAGTGTCCACGTAAAGTGAAATTGACGGTAAGATATGATATACTATCAGAAGATATCCCTTAATGATAGCGTATTCAATATAGTATCATGCCATATCATAATATACCATAAACTAGAATAAAATACTTTCAGAGTTGCCGATGCAAATCCGAACTGCCGCCTCCTGCTGGCCACTCCGAGGGTCATCCCATGTCGTGGACTGGTTCTCATGGTTCTTGAAGTACATCCTGGCGAATAAATTTTTGAGGCCAAAGGGTGTTTTCCCTCTCGCATGGCTGCGGATCTATGCCCACTAGGCCAAAGGGTTTCGACTCTCACACTCGCACCAGGGTTTAGGGATCAGAGTTCAGGAGTTTTTTCCCTGTCGCATGGCTGAGATCTATGCCCACAAGCGGTTCGGGAGTTTAGGGTTTAGGGGGCTTTTTGACACTCACACTCGGACAAGCCTGGCAAGGTCTCTAGCGATACTGGCCTCAGAAGCAAAGGACAGTACTCAGCACGTTTCACTAAGCAGCTTTTTTCCTTCCACCTGAGATAACATAGGGGGCGGTACGGTATAGTAGGGAACGCCTCGGAATAAAAAAGATGGCTGTTTCAGACCCTTCTTGACCCTTCCCTAGAGTTGCTAAAGAGCGGCTCGGAAAGGAACCCTGGTAGCAACCCTGTAGGGAACCCTTACAGGGCTGGGGGTGACAGCGTAGGTCAAGAGACACATCTTCCTGGCGACTGTACCCACACTCTTGGGGTGCGACAAGACCGACCGGACGCACCGACAAATGATGACTTACCGTCCCTTGCATTCGAGCTGGCGGACCTGGCGCTGTCATCCAGGGCAGCATCGAAGTTGTCTGGCAAACCTCGCGGATCCTCCGCGCAGTGAGGGTGCTAACGATAACACGAGACTGCTCGACGACGGCAGGTGGCAGCAGGCTCCCATCTCCACAAAGGTAGCAGTTTCGGCTATACCAGAAATCAGCGAGCTGATCCTTGCAACCCAAGCTTCCGACCACAATACCAAACCCCAACCCACTGCCCGACTTGTCGAAACGGGTCGAACCAATGCTGAGGCGTGGTCGATAAGCGTAGTGCGCATGGCCGGGAGGTAGGCGAAGTAGATCTCGCCATCCTTTGAAAGGCGCATGTCCTTGGCCCGCTCCAGAAGCTGCTTGATAGCCTTCAGTCGTTGGCCTGGCCTTGTTTGTGCGAGGGCTGCGCTGTAATTTGATGATCAGCCTCTTCATAGTTTGAACTCAATGCAGAAAGCTGTTTATCTGGCGCTGCCCTATAAGCAGGCTTCTCATCTAAGCTTCCAGGTGCTCCTCGTGGCGGTCGGCTCGGGAGCTCGGGTGCTGTGGATCTTCCGAAAGGCTCCGAGCCCAGATCTCGAAGTTCTGCAGCACTTTACTGTTAAGAGTCCTTCCGAAGACACCAAATAGAGTATCTTCCCAGAACTCCATTAGCTTCCATAGCCCAGACGGATCCATCGAAACCTTCCAAAGAAGTCTGAGGCTCCTGGCCCAGCCCACGGGGCAGCTACGCGGATCCACGTAGGTGGTTTTCCGAGTTTTGTGGTACTGGAAATAGACCTGCGAACTAATACAGGTCAGAAGTAAGGGGAGCTTTGCGCTCCCGGGCGGGCTTGGGAAGGTTTAGTTGCAGAAGGGGCTCTTCAAGCCTTGAGGTGGAAGTTGCTTCTGTGATCTCGGGCGCGGTCAGTGATCTGATGAACCCCAAAGAGGCGCATCCAAGTACGCCTCATGCGATGCTGCTAGAAACCTAAGTCTGTCGTCATTCTCATCCAAGTGGTCAGCCGGTTCAATGCCCTTGCCACTGGTCTGGTGGCTACTGCAGCGATTGCTGTAACTGGCTACCATCTGCCACTGAAAACCGTATTTTTGCCATACTTCTGCTGCTGCCATTAGAGCAAACTACGTGGTTCTTGACTAGGGAGCTTTAATGGCTAGGTATGTATCAGATAGTAGAAACTTTTCACTGCAGGCTAGTACTTCGGACACTGCAAGGGAAAGTCCTTCTCCCACGGGCCTTGCCACTTCCTGGGTCAACGCGCTGGTCCCAGCTGTCTGGCAAGAACCTGCTGTATTTGTCGGGCAGGCTGAGAAGCGGCCGGCTGGTGTAGCTGCAAGGGAAACATGTAGCTAAAGAGTGCCCTTAGAGCCATAATATAATATAATATAATATAACATAATATTAATACAATATAATACAATATAATATGTTAGCTGATGCTAGAAATATAGGCACCAAGGGCACCAAGAGCACAGAAAAACCAGCGAGCCTTGGGTCTTTCCAGGTTGTGCGCTTCGACCTTGCGTGACATCTTCAGTCTCAACGTTCACTCTCGGCTTACATGTTCTATGTTGCGCAGGGTGTTCATGATTGTGAAGGACCAGTGGCGCGCGAGGGCTTTAAGTCTTGCTTATGATGCAAGTAGGACCCTTCCGATGTTGCTGTGAGTGCTGTGTGTGTCTTATTGTTGCTCTTCGCCACGGCCACTGTCACACACTGGATTGAGCTTCAACGGATCACGCGTGAAAGCAGCTACTTCGGACAGCAGCCTCGTAGCCGACACTTTCGTCCAACATCGCACAGAGACTTCGCTCACTTGAACCCGCCTGGGGTCGAGGAAGTACATCCGTCCAGGCCTTGGGAAACACAGTCGAAGGTCCAGGCTTCTTTGCTTGCTGGAACCGTTCACAGACTACAAGTAACAGATGGTGCCGCCTCCAACTGCATGGTCTGGAAGCGAGCGTGGGATCTGTTTGAAAGCCTCCGGTTTTGGGCCTGCCTGATATCACGGCAACGGTTCAAAAATAGCCAAGACACACAGGAATGGCCGGCCTGGATTTTCGGTCCCTGAATGCTCGCCCTCTCTAGTACCATGCAAGGGGTGAAATGCCTGCTCTAATCGTTGACTGCTGCGTTTGAGTCTCGCCTCGCCGGGATGCAGCAACCACTTGAGCGTTTCTTGCGCGGCGCAGCAACATCACTGCGGGCGCTGTCTGGGGTGCTGTCCGGGATGCTGACTTCCAAGTCCCAATGGAACACTCCGGAGCCCCAGGACCGATATTCGGATGATGGCGGTCGGAACTTCCAAGATGTCTCGTCCACATTCATCGTGAAGAATCCCACCATACCTACGGCCGGGAACCATTTCTTTCCGTTCACATAAAACTTCATATGGTGGCCCTCCGCATTCCATTGGCCATTGACACCGAAAGCCCCACCTCACCTCTGTCCAGGTCCATCGCAAAACCAAGCACATCTCCCACCTTCCAGCGACCGACCATGCCAGGCACCTCGGTGACGGTGAAACCATTGCGGTGTAAATATCCCCATTTGCCACGATAATTGTGGTTGCCCCACCCAATCAGACGATTATCATCGGGAGAGGGACGATATTTTCCATCCTCTTCACTCTCCACCCAGCCCAGCTGTGATTCGGAAAAGTGACTGCGGAGGCAGATTTCGTGGTAGAACCGCCCACTTCCGCGCCTGAGCTCGGGGAATCCGCAGACCAGAAAAGCTTTTCCACAGCGAGGAACGCCGCCTGGCACCTCGGGATACAGTATCTTGAGCCCCACCAGCTGCACCCGGGGCCCGGGCAGGGCCCCCGCCTCCCGGAGCAGCTCCGCGATGTCGGTAAAACCACGGTCCAACGCCAAGTCCAGGGCGTGAGCTCGGCAGAAGCCTGGGCGGTTGAGGTCCACCCCTTGAGCAATGAGGCACTTCACCGCCTTCAACCGCTTTTCCTCAATTGCATGGTGCAGAGGAGTCGAGCCATCGCTACTTGCCTTGTTGAGGTCGCATCCGAGGCCTTCCACCAGATTTCAGCATCTGCAACCCGTCCACTTTGCCTAGCCTTGCTGCCAAGTGGGCGGGCGTTTGGCCATCCTTGCTTTGTGCCTCCAAGTCACCTCCCAGGTCCCGAAGCAGCTGCAAGACATGCAGCCGATCATTTGAAACTGCATAATGCGCGAGCGTGCAGCCAGACTGGTCAGAAAGCCGAGGCAACCTCCCGTTCGCGTAGAGCAAGCGGATCTGCGCGACATCCCCAGTGAAGCATATTATATGCTCAAATCGAAGCACGAGCTCCGTGTCCTGAGGCAGCCTCGCCTGGGCCTCCGCGATGGCCTGGCAGCCGATTCTGCTCTTCAACACATTGAGTTTCAGTTTGCCGAGTCGTGGCATCTTGGCCAAGTTGTCAGAGAAAGCCCGATAGCCATGGTCCGTCGCAGGCGCAAGATCGATCTCCGGGTCGGTGACCTCCGGCAGCTTCGAAAGGGCTTCGCCTGGAGCACCGCAGGCTTCCTCGCCAAGCCGTGAGCCCGACAAGTCCACCGCCAGCACTGTGCCATCCTCGAGGAGATGCTTCAAGGCGAGCGCAACCACCACCACGGTGGCCTCGTGGAAGTTTCTCAGCAACCAGCTGATGCCATGCAGGATGTCCTTCCTTGAAACCTGTTCTACGGCCGCTTGGAAGCGTTCTTGATCCAATTTCGTCCACAGGTCTTCCGTTGGATATGCCTGCTGAAGTCTGCAGAGGGCGATGGCGAATTCCTCTGTACGATCGAGCCTGCCGGCCCGCCATGCATCGAAGGCTTCCTGCAGGAGCCAATCGCGGACCTCCCAGGCCACAGTATTGTGGAACCACAGAGCCAAAGTAAAGCGCAGGGCAGGAATCCCAATGTTCACCACAAAAGCGAAGGTGCTGAAGCCCTCCTCAGAAGCAATGGCCATTGCCAGCAAGGCCTGAGGTACATCTTCCACCACCATTGCCCACCTTCGCGCAGGGGTGGACTGCTTGTAAAATATGCCCATCATTTTCACCCGCCATGAATGCTCTTTCGCGTCTGGCTTGGTCCGCTTCAAAAGTATTATCGCCAGATACGCCATCTCGAGTTCTAGACTGGTGTCCCGGCTTGGCAGAAGGATGAACAGGTGCAAGACCCAAAGATACGGGCTAGGTGTTTTTTGTTATGCTGTCAGTGTTTTTTCTTATGCTCCGGTCGGGTGAGTGCCCGGGTTTATGCTCATGGTGTCTCCTGTTATGCTGGAGCGTTTGATTTTTTTAATCTGCCTTGAGACAGTGTGCTTAGTTTTATGCTCGCGGTTTCTTCTGTTATGCGGCAGTGTTTATGCTAAGTTTGTTGCAATGCCAACCACTCAAAGAATGGGGGCATCCACGAAATGAGAACGTCACCAAAGGCTTTAAGGAACCTCGTACCCTAAACCCTATAAACTCTTGGGAACCTGAACCCGGAATCCCGTACCCTAAGCCCTAAACTAATCACGAAGCCCAAGAATGACAAAAATCTTGAACCTGCAGCTCTGAATCCTGTACTCTAAGCCATAAACTTCTCGGAAGGTAGGACCGTAGGACCTGAATCCTGAATCCCGTACCCTAAGCCCTAAACTAAGCAACTAACCTCGAAGCCAAAGAATGGCGACTTTTGGGAGAGTAGGATCCTAGGACCTGAATGCGCCGGCTCTCGTTTGAAACGAAAGACGCCCTAGGAAATAGACGGAACTTCCGAATGCCCTGCTAATCGAAGGAAAGGGGACCAAAACCTCGCCATCTAGTGGCGAAATCCAAACCCAGCATTTCAACCGAGCCCGTCAACGCTCGCGGCTGAGGCCATGACCTGAGCGAGAGGGTCATGCGGAGAGTACACTTCGCAGCAGGCGGGTGTGCTGGCCAGCACGGTTCACACAGCTCAGCAGACGTACATTTGTTGAGCGACGCTTCTTCAAGTAACTTCCAGGGCTGTGTCTGTAAGGCCCTGAGACTTCCAGGGCTGTGTCTGTAAGGCCCTGAGACTTGAAACTGTTTGCAGGGCCTATGTCTGTGAGGCCTGCTGTTGAAATGTCCTGGCAGCGCTTCTGTAGCGCGTGCTAGGAGCCGAGCTCGAATTTTGTCCGCAAGCGGAAACGCGATGCCGACCACATACCGGAACACTCTACATGATAACCCTAAAGTCTTAGGCAGCG